TGGGAGCAAACCCCCTGCTTGACTGCTCAGTCCTGCACGCCCCAGCTGCTGCCAGAGGATGTTCCCAGTGCCACCCTACTCCAGAACTGGCTCAGCTGCTGTGTGTCCCTTCAAGGGATAAAAACAGGCACTGCAAAGAGCAGTGAGGGGAGAGAGGAGGGCAGGTCCTGTTCCCTGCCTTTGCTTCCTCCTCTGAATCCTCTTCCTTTCCAGCTTCTCCTTGAAGTATTTTCCCTGCACTCAAGACATCCCTGTTGTTCTCTGGGTCTCAGTGTTCCACAAGAAGTGTCCAAGTGTGATGACCAGCACAGAGAGTCCCTGTCCCATCCCCAAGTCCCAGCACCTACAGAACTCCAGCCCATGCCCTCAGCCCCATCCCAGCCCCAGGATGCTCCAAGGGAAGTGTGATTACAAATAACAAATGGCACTGCTCTCTCTGCGAGAGGAACATCTCTCTCCCCAGAGACCAGCAGCAATTTCAGGCCTCAGAAAATAAAAACTCTTCCCAAGAGCTGCTCCGTCTGCTGCAGAGAGTGTTCGAGAGCATTACACCGGCTGAGCTATTACACCCTGATGCTGTGTGGGTTTTTTGCATGTGTGTGTGTGTTTGTGTGGAGAGCCCGGAATGTTCCTTGCATCTCTTGTTTGAGACCTCCAGACAATTGAAGCGTTTTTAATTCCACCCCAGGAAGGTGAGGTTTCCTGCTGCTCTGGCATTAAGCGTCAAACAACTCCCCCTCCAGCACTGGCTTTCAGGCTGAAATGAGACTTTCTTCCCAGGGCAGGCAAGGGGGAGAGAACAAAAGGCAAGGAAGAGAAAAGCAGCCTAAGGGAAGGCGAGGAGATGGGGGRGAAGGAAGGACCTCCCCAGCCAACAGGGAAATGCTTTCTCAGTTTGGGGCATGCCATGGAGCCTCCTTGCTCCAGCTGGAGGAAAGGCAGCAGCTTTTTGGCTGAGCTAGCACCCCTCACCAGCCTTTGTCTGCAAATTTGGATGCCGAGGAATGAGAAGGTGCTGCTTGGAGTCAGAGTTGGAGGGGAAGCTGCCTGTCCTCCTCTGGTTTGGTCCTCTGGTCCTCCCAGGTGCTGACCCTCCACCCACAGGCCATAACCCTGTTCTAGCCTGGCAGCACTTCTCCCAGCCACACCCCAAAGATACGGAATCCTGGAGCAATTTGGGTTGGAAGGAACCTTAAAGACCATCTCACTCCTCGTTGTGGAAAGGGATTCCTGCCACTAGGCCGGGTTTCTGAGAGTCCCATCCAACCTGGCCTTGGACACTTCCAGGAATGGGGTAGCCAGAGCTTCTCTGGGCAGCCCGTGCCAGGGCCTTACCGCCCTCACAGGGAAGAATTTATTACATCTGATCTAATCCTGCTTGCTGTTAGTGGAAAGCAGTTCCCCCTTGTCCTGTGACTCCCTGGCCTTATCCAAAATCCCTCTCCAGCTCTCCTGGAGCTCCTTTAGGCACTGGAAGGGGCTCTGAGCTCTCCCCAGCACCTTCTCCACTTCAAGCTGAACAAATCCAACTCTCAGCTTGTCTGCAACTGGGAGCACTTGGGAAGCTTCCCCTGCTTTCCACAAGCTGGGAATTTGGCCCCTCTTCTGCCTGCTACTCACTCATCCCTCCGTCTTTCAGCTCCTGTCCTGAGGCTGTTGTCTCATTTTGCTGCATGGCGAGAGAAACCATCACCACGTGCCCACAGTGGAGACCATCCTGAAGGACCAGAGCCTCAAGCCACCTTTTCCTTGAGAAGGGAAAACAGGACCACCTTTTCCAGTTCCCCCTCTCATGAGGCCACATTTTCTCCCTTCCCAGCCCTTTTGCTCCTGGTTTTGCAGGCTTTGCACTAATTTGCAGGAAGCTGGTGCCACACGCACTCAGGGACAAGGTCTGTGCAGTCACTTCCCACTCACTTGATCCCTAATGGAGCTTAATTGCTTTTGTCCATTAGAAGGAGGAAGGGGTGGCAGAAAGGGGAGGGRAGAATAAAAAAAAAAAGTTAATCTCAACTTAATGAATTATTACATTTCAGAAAGACACGTTCCCGAGCAGGGCAGCAGCGGGGGCTGGTGACATCTGAGAGTGGGTAGGTGATGCTGACAGATCAAGGATTGCTCAGAGCCAATTTGCAGCAGCGGGGAGAGATAATACCGTGTGTGTGAGTGAGAACAGGGCCAGCCATGGTGACTGACAGCCGCTTGGGAAGGCTCCAAGCCACAGGCAGGGCAGCCACAGCCTCGCATTGCCCAGAGAGCAGGTGTTGAGGGGCTCTGCTCCCTCTTTCATGGGTTTACATCACCAGGAATGGCCCAGTTCTGCCCCACAAAGAGCCCAGGGCGGTGCTGCCCCATGGGGTCCCTGCCAGGGGGCTCAGAGCACCCCAGCAGATTGCACAGTCCCCACCAGCAGCACCTCTGCTTGTCCCCCTGGGTCTCCCGGCCCCAAATCCTGATGGCTCAGCAGGAAAACATCCACCTGCGACAGCCGAGCCCCATAATGCCACCCCTGGGGCACTGCAGCCTTCTCTGCCCGCCTCGTGAAGCCAAAGACACTCAGAGAGCTCCAGAGGCAAGTGCTGAAGGCCYTGGTGGGGTTTGGGGACCAATGTGCCATCTGTCCTCCTGCTCCCAAAGRCACCCACAGACCAAGCCCAGCCCACCAGGGCAATGGGAGAAGATGGTTCACTCCTTCTCTGCCTTCAAAATCTCTTCCACAGCCTTGGCATTCCCCTCAGGTGGCCTGAGAGCATCTCTGCTCCTGGCAGGAGACCCTGGGGACACCACCATGTTCAGCCACCTTCCTCTCCACACCCCCACTGCCACCGTCACACCAGGGAACCAAGAGGTTTTTTGGCAATGTTGTGTTCTTCTCCAAGGACTGGAAAACCCAGGTCTGGTTTTGCTGGGAGGATCACCCATGTGGAACCATCCAGCTTGAAAATGGGCTCTTTTTTTTTGAAATAAATCACACAAGAAAACAGGAAAAAACCCCAACCAACCAGCTACAAGAAAACAACTGGAAACCAGTTAAGAAAAAAAGAGTGTCACAGATACTCTGTGCAAGTGTAGAAAAGTGAAATCCAGTTTTCTACTTTTTAGACCATCTTTGAGTCCAAATCAGGTATACAGTACTGGTAATATCAATACTGTGGCCTCCATGCTTTGAAACAAAAAAAACAACCATCTTCAAACCCACCAATTCATCACTTTTTGCCTCTACTAAAGATGCTTCCMGCAAACCAGTTACAAAATCAGTCTTAAAACATCTCGAGGCAGCAGAAAGGGTAGGGTGGGAAGCAGAGGAATACAGGATTACACACTGAGGATGAGGCAGCAGCACCACACTGCCAGGAAAAAAATACCAAATATAATGGGATGCATAACAASAGAGACCATCAGGTAACACTGCTGCATTCCTCAGCTCCACTACAGGTTTGAGTACCACAATCTGAGTCAAAACTTCCTCTGAGACTCCGGAAGGGTGTCAGAGAAGGTTATGGGACAGAACTGACAACAGACGGTGTGGCAAACACAGCTGAGACAGTTGCAGACCGGGGGGATCAGATGGTATTTACCCAGGAGGTGTAAAGGAACTGAAGTGAGTGTTGAACTGACTGAGCAGTGTGTAACCTGCAGCCTCAGCTCAAACACACGGTGACAGGCAGAACTGGCACTGCAGCCTGGGATTATTGCACTGAGCCCATGRCAGAGGCAGGAGCAGCGTGGCCAAAAGGTACGAAAACCTCTGCAGGGGCAAAGTGGGCTTTGAAGGAGACAAGAAGTTTTTTGRCAAGGGAAATTGCCTGATTTAAGTTCACTTGGTCTGCCAAAGTTAGGGAGAATTCAAGGCCAAGGTGGGATGTGGCTCTGAGCAACCTGGTCTGGTTGAAGATGTCCCTGCTCATTGCAGAGGGTCAAACCAGATGCCCTTTAAAGATCCCTTCCAACCCAAACCATTCCATGATTCCTTAACGAAACTGTGCTGTCTCTGTGAAGCACTGAGCRGTGAAAAGAAAGGAGACAAAATGAAAAGCAAACAGAAACACCCTGTTTGTTGTATTCCCTGTCCATTAGCTTTGATCATCCCCGCGTGGCTGGGCGGGAGCTCTGTGTCCCCGCGGTGTGACAAACCTGCAGTGGGAGCRCACAGCTGACGCTGCTAAAGAGAGCACATTTATAGAGCGCTGGCAGTCACACGAGCCGGGGAAGGGAAAGCTGACAAGCTGTTGGTGACAGGGAACAGTCAAACGGGAAGATACCAGCCCTGAGATCACCCATTACATCACTGCCCCACTTAGGAAGGGGCAGATGCTGAGGGGGGCTTTCTGCCGTGCAGAGAGTTTGTGATTGTCCACTTGTGATTGTCCACCTGGGTTTCTCCAAGGCCGATGACACCAAACTGAGCGGGGAAGTGGACACCACAGAAGGGAGAATAATCCTGCAGGAAGACCTGGGCAGGCTGGAAGGGGGACTAAGAAGAACTTAATGAARAGGAGCTGYCCCTCCCTGRTAGTGCTCAAGGCCAGGCTGGATGGGGCTCTGAGCAACC